CCAATTTTTCTTTTAATATGTATACTTCTTTATTTTTATTTTTTTGAGAGAGTCTTACTTAATTATTTGTTTTTATCAAATTCTTGTTATAAACAAATTGATAAGAGTACAGTTATAATATTAGAGCTTTATCTTTTCTTGATTAAGAGTGAATTATTTCTTTTTCTTGATAAGACATAAGCATATTAGAAGTTGCACATTATCTTCTTCTAAACTAATATTATTTTTAGTATTTTCTTTGTTCTAAAGACCTCTCTTTTATTTACCTTGAATGATATTAGATTTTTTTTTAATTAATATTATCATAGCAAAACTTTTTGAAATGAAGAATATAATAGCACAAATGCAAGAGCAATTGAAAGAATAGATATTTACAATGCATCAACTCAATTTATCACCACCAAAAATAACAAAAATAGCAGAAAGTGAAGATATAAATATGATTGAAATCGCTTCAATATCTACACCAAATCACATTTCTTCTCCTATAGTAGAACATCCTTCTAGTATTAGAGAACCTAGAGTTGCCTAATCGAAGAAGATTGATAATACAAGATTCAAATTTCAAGGATTTATCAATCAAGTACAACTTGTGATTGAACTTCAACTCCAAAGTTAGCCAACGCTAAGATCACAAGTTAGATTCATTGGTACACTCCTTTCTTGTTTCTAGTCTAGTTTCAAGAGTCTGTAGTTTCTTTATCTTTGGGCAATAACCATTCTAATTTTTCTTTTAATATACATATTTTTATATTTCTATTTCTTTGAGAGAGTCTCACTTGTTTATTTGCTTTCATCGAGTTCTTGTTCTTGATAAAAATGGAGTTTGTAAGAGATTATGCTAAGAAGACAAATATAATGAGCCAAAGCAAGTACATTAAAGGGGTATTGAAACAAGTCAACATGGAGGAGTGTAGGCCTATAGATACACCTTTGGAAGCCAATTTAAAATTGATGAAGCTCACAAATAAAAAGTTTTCTAAAGTTGAAGGTCAAATGCAAGGTTTTTCATATAAAGCAACATTGGACTCACTTATATGTGCAATAGTTGGTACAAGGGTGGATCTTGCATATGCAATAAGTATTATGAGCCAACACATGTCAAAGGTTGAATCAATCCATTGAAAAACTATCAAAAAGATTATGAGGTACTTAAAAGGTTCTTTGCATTTCAAATTGTGCCTTGGAGGTGATAATATTACTTTGCGTTGTTATTATGATGCGGATTGGATTGGAAATACAAATGATAGAAGGTCAACAATAAGATATGTATGCTTTCTTAGAATGGGAGCTATTTTATAGAATTGCAAGAGATATCCAATAATTGCGAGGTCAACAATAATGGAGAAGGAATACAACTCCATCGTATAGACAAGAGCCAGGCCGATAAAGCTAAACCGATGGCAATATACAGGGCGGAGGGCACGCCACCAAGCAGCCCGGTATACGCCCCGGCATGGAGCTCTCCCTCTCTCGCTCCCTCTCTGTCTGCGTCGCGCACGAGATCGCAGCGCAGCGAGGTCGCGAGACCCGCATTCATGAGGAGGGTGAAGGCGCAACGGTGATGGGCAATGAGGCGACGACGCACCCATCGCAGCCAGCAGCAGCAGAGAAATATGGAATCGCCGCCCTGGCCGTGAATCGGATGAGGGACGCGAGCACTAGCAGCATCGGCGACCTACAGAGCGGGGGGGGGGAGGGGGGGGGGGTGCGTGAGGCCATTGATGGAGAGGTGGAGTTGCGCCTTTCAGACGGAGCCAGTTATGGGAGCGTCCTATACGAATTCCTGGCATCAGGTTGTTAGTAATTATGTGGACTTGTCTATGCACTGCAGTCCTTGATTAGATCTGTCAGGGATTGTACACCCTGCCGGCCCGACGTTGTTTGTGACGATTGTCCAGGTGTCATAAGGTGTGGAATTACATATTTTTGCGTCATTCTTCGTGGTTCAACTGGCGAGTGTAGTGGGGTTAAGCTTTAGTGCTAGATTGAGGGCGGAGGGTGGCTGGTGCGATTGGAGATTTTGAGTTGAGCGTTTTGTGGGTTGGAGTTCAGCGGAGATTTGTGGCCTGCGATGATGAAGGGGCCCGTGGTAGGAATGGTCGTCGTCGTGTTGTTGGTGTTGACGATGGTGCTCGGCATGACAATGCGTGTTGAGTCGACGCGGTTGCTCAATGTGGGCGACAGAGGAATTGCGGAGGCTGAATCCCTCTACTCCGCGAATGTGGACTCGGTTGTGGGAATGGAAGGTGGTGGGAAGAAGGGTGTTGCATTTCATGCGCGGCGGAATGCCCTGCCGCCCAATTCAAAAGCTGGTGATGATGCTGTGGACCCGATTTGGGACGTGGAGGCTGAGTCGCCGCCTGGGCAGAGGCAACGAGACCGCAGCCTTTGGGGGATGTCGAAGCGCTTGGTTCCCACGGGTCCCAATCCGCTGCACAACTAACTGGAGAGAGCAACTTCCAAGGCGAAGACCCCAGGACGCGCGTTGAAGTGAAAAATCCGATGGAACAATCATGATTATTATTATTTTTCCCCTCGCGTGAAGGCTGAAATTCCGTGTGTCCACTGTCCCACTTGAAGCAGATAATATTGAATGTTTACGTAGTTCCACCATGAATTTGATCCGATGCAGTGAAACCATGAGCTCCTTAGGTGATTGAATGAGGAATCCTATTGCTGAGGGATCGTCATGTCCCCGGAGGCCGCAGATTTCGAACGACACACGAAAGCATGCGAGTGATTCAAGCGGCTATGCAGTTGATACACATTGTGCGATGAGTGTTTTCCATTGTTGTCTGTGCGCTGGGTGGGCCAGGCATCTCAGGTGACTGATAGAAATTTGAAATTTTAGTCGTGATCGAGGACAAGCTCCTTCCGCAGCATATGACTCTGCTGGCTGCCTTGACAAAGCTGCCTCAAGACTAAATTTCTCTGCACCGTCATAGGGATTGATGATACCGTCATGACGCGAGACAAGCCGAGGAAGCAAATTGGTCACTGGAAAGTGATTTATCTCCGACATTGAATTACATAGAAAGCTTTGGAAGCGCTGGAACATATCAGGTCGGCACTGGAGATTCATCGAAGCGCAGTTGCGTTAACTTAACTGTAGGACCCTGTTCTTTACTCACAAGAACAAAATCTAGATAATTTGCACATTTGAGTGAAATTATTCCAGAGCTAATTTGTTCCTGAACACCTGTGGTATTTCGCATAGCTATTTGACCCTGGAATCCATAGAAAGAACGAATCACTGGTATAGAACCTTAGTATGCTTCTATCAAAGCAAGCTTATAGTGATCATGTGGGAGTCGGGATGAGAACACCTCATGATGTTGAGTGAGAGAGAGATAGAGAGGGAAAGTGGGAGAGGTCCATTCAGGACTGGCACAACTGTAGTATAATAAACTATAAGTAACCCCCAAAAGTGAAAAAAAAAAGAAAAAAAAAAAGAAAAAAAAAAGGAAAGAAAAGGACAACCAAACAGACAGTGGGGATGATGAAATGTAGGCATTGTAGATCATTACCAAGGATGCGAATCAAGCGACTCGATTCACAGCCATTAAATTTCAATCCACAGTTAGTCATCGTAGCACTGTGGGCACGCTGGCAGCTGTTACATGCCGATCACCATTGCCGCTACTGTATAAAGACGTCTCATATTCAATAATTGTGAAGGTATGTGACGCCTGATTATGCCTAATTTGTTTATATATATAATAAAAAAGCTCTCGTAATTGATCTCTCTATGCAGCAGGCCGTCATCGACACTAACCTTTATGGCAATTTTCCAGTCACTGTGTCTGTCAGTGCCTTTCGCATCTCTCGCTGGTAGTCGGCTGTGCCAAGCCATCCATGACGTCGTGAAAGATATAGTGTCCCCGAAGCTTTCCAAACCAAATGTGTTGTTTCGCAAGGATGAATTTGTGTCGCCTCGGCATATGAATTACTGAAGGGCACATTCTAAATAGCTTCTCTGTGCATTAAATGCATTGTCTCAGTCCGTGACAAAATCAACTCGAGAAAGGGCAGGGGGAGAGTGGTGAGCGCATGGACTTCAGCGATCAGTTTTTGTTAAAAGCAGCAAATGACATTCATTAGGGGCTGTGACTGGATTCACCTTGGCTGGCAGCTTAGTGGAGAATGTGTGATCCGTGAGCCTGTTAGAAGAAGCATTTAACTGGGTTCCATCAGGGCATCGAAGCCGTGATTGAATGAGTTCCAAGTATTGATTTTGCCTCTTCCGCTGCCAGAGGCTTATTAAATCTTGTTGATCATCATGTGCGTTACAGTGAGCGTGCATTCACTTCCTCCAGTACTCCGCCAGCTCGACCTGCGAATGTTTTTCAGCAAATTAACTCTCGTGAAGCACAGCAGCAGAATGCTAATGATGTGGCCACCCATCGCATAGTAACTTTTGTACCATACCTGTGTGAAGAAGGGCATTCCGCAATTCAAATTTCAGTTGTATTGAGGAAAATCGAATTGTTTAGGGCGAAGCTAGCTGCCCGGAGATTCCAGTATAAAAGCTCCAGAAATTATCGTTCGAATTCTCAGATGTTTAAAGACGAAACTCTGATGGCCACCAGATGCTACTGCTTACGCTGAACTGGTGGATTTTGGTTTAACAGATGTCAATCCCTTCATCATAGAAACAAATTTAAAAATCTGTATCTGATTTTCGGTGAATAAATTCCTTTAACAAGCAAATCAAATTTAGTTTGGAATGTTGAGTTCAAGTTAATTAAAGTCCACTTGGTTGATAAAAAGAAAACAAAAGTTTCTAGGGTTTTCCACAAGGTAAAAATCAGTGGAGGTTCTCACCAGTCAAATGTGAACAGTATGTCGAGCATAAGTAACCCAGTTCCGGAATTGAATACGCGCTATGGTCGGTGAACTAGTCGCTGAACCAATTGTTCGAACCGGATAGTAGCTGGGGTCTGAATATTTCCAGTTGTTCCATTAGTACACATGCTTACACCACAAAAACAAAAGAAACAAAATTCTTCATGGAATTTTTTACGATTTACTGAATCTCATAATTTATTGAGGCAATTGTCAGACCTCAGTCCTATTCAACTCGTAGTGTGTCCTTTCTGTATCATATAGTTGTACAAACTGATATGGTGGGGAGACTTTGAACAATAGTGTACTACTTACATGGCCACGACGTACCCGGCGCTCAGATGTGCCATGTCCTGCTCGACGAGGTGTAGCCCAATTGTCCCTAATATAGTTTCAAACTGAAAAAGTTCCTACTGGCTCTCAATGCGCAAGTCTACTGTTGTCTGAGCCAATAATGATAGTAAGATAGACCATCTTAAACCAAGGACAGGCATGTGTGGAGACGGTGGGCGGTTTATGCTTTTTCCCAATCCAGTGTATTGTGAAGCTTGTAGCCTAGGTGGGTTTCCAGAAGAACCACCTCTTCTGACCTGGACCAGGATATAGGTATCCATTCGCTAAATCATAATGGCTTCCGTATCACTTGCACAGTCAATTTCGTATCATTTGGAATTTTTGGATGCTTGTAGGCGAAGTTTATCCCCTAATCAAGTTTTAGAGCTGATCGGATCTCAACATGTTAGCTGTGTCCTGATCATACACTAGCATTCTCGAGCATGTGGGCGAGATCATCCATTCTCCATCGCATCCATCTATTATTCTTCCCTGTAATTTGAAGAGTAAAAAAATTACAAGCACTAAGGATGGTCAGGTACAGATACCCCAGGATGATTGTATCTTTGTAAATCTTTAACAGGGTGGTCGTTCCAATTACAAACTTGCTTATCGATTAAGGACGAAAGACTTGTCAATGAAAAGTACTGATGCTACTTACTCCAGATTCGAGATGCTTACCTACACAATTATTTTCCACCTCAAACATCCAGGTACTAGAACGATGTTGGTCATCAGTCAGATTTTCAGCCAGTCAAAGCCAGTATCTTCTTTTCCACAATCCATCGACTGGAATGGCATTTGAAGTAAAGATTGCTAATCGTAACTTCGTGAACACTGGGAAGATACCACCTTCTGTCAAATGGTTAACGCAATTGATCAGTTGGTCTCTTCTGATGTGCTGGTGCAAGGATATTTGCAACTGGGCTCTTACAAACAGATTTCACCCAGCAGGTTACAGTAGTTGCCAATACATGCATCAACCTGATAATTCTAAAAATTCATTGTCTTGTCAAAAGTGAAATCTCACACCAAACCAAACCAACTGTAAGGGGTTGGTTTACTGCAGCAGAAAGCCAAAAGAAGTGGCCACAGCTTACGATGTACGCATGTATTCGTCGTTCCACCATCAATCTTCTCTGAAAAGCTGGGAATGTAGAAAGATGCTGTGCATAATTGATTGGTATGCATACCACCTAGGGTAAAAATATCATCGAGTTCAGCTGGTTGGAAGAGATAATTAAGAGATTGCTACATAAGCTTCAGATCGTGCCTCCAACCCTGTGATGCACTCGGCCAAAATTTGTTGCTGACATGGCCCATTTTTTCTGTATAATCACAATAAAAGGATATCTTTGAGGGCCATCAAAAACACAAGTGAAAATAAGAACCAGGTAATATGAACTACAACACTGGAGTTCCGAGCACTCTCGACTCCACAGATATGATTTAGCTGTCGCGCTATTGGTTGAAGCACTACGCAACAATGCATCGACCAGCACGACACCAGATATGCAAATTAAGATTTTGAGACATGCTCCTCAAGGAATAGTATATTAGCCGCATATTTTGGGTATGAGTTTACTTCAATGACGAAAAAACGGTCCTCATAAAAGTCCGCTTTATTCCTCTATATTCAGCGCCGCCATTGGACGTGAGTCCATCCTTACCAGGTCACTTTATTTGTCTGCATTCTCTGGATGATTAATATAAGTAACAGTGAGTGTCAGGAACTCAAAATAAAATGAAAGCATCATGAAAAGAGGGGCTACGCGGCATATGGTGTGCAGGTGAACGTAAATGCTTCACCTAGAGTAATTGCGTCGTAGAATTTCACCAATGAACCTCGATCGAGACGTAAAAAAGGTTGAATTGCTGAGGAGTCTATCTTACAGTAAGGAAGCGTACCATCCATCGTTCGTAAAGCTCCTCAGCTTTATCGACAGCGCCATCTCAAAGCAGTCAGTGAAATGTTGATTATTGATGCTTTGAAAACAACAGTTGCTTCAAGATAGATGGGCAAGCTGTGATGTTGACGGACCCCAGACAGTTGGTTGTATAGCTGCGCTTGGAAAGTAAACAGCTAGAAAGATCATCGGCGATCTCAATGTATCCACAGAGCCCTATTAAAATCCAATCATAGATCACTCGCAAAAAATTTCGCTAGTGACTTGCGAGAGTTGGCGCTGAAAGAAGCTCAGAGTAATTAGTTGTTTTCAGATTGAACGAGGTTGGTGTCCGCAACTTGCTCATCCCTAAAAGTTAGGCTGGTTTCCTTGGTGGCTAATTAATTTCGTCATTGTCGTCCGCCAACGGCTTGGCCGTAGCCTTTAAGACATTTACGGAAGATACAATTCTCTCCTTAGAATTACGAAATGATGTGCCTGAGATGATGAGCAACTAAACAATTTGAAAAAACAAGTGATCCAAGTTCAATGATCAGAGCGCATCTAATATAAATAGCCTGTAAGTATACATCTTAGTGTTACTATTCGCGCAAGAATACCTTTTATTGGAGAAGACAGCTCTTCGAAGTTCCTTTGGATCAAGGCATTTCTAGAGGGATATCAAAACTTATCTATGAATGGGAAAAAAATCCTAAAACATGCAATATACGAATGTCTGTTGGATCAAGATGGAGTTGACTGATATACCGCACCTCAAAGATATAGGTGCACAATAATATTAAGTTGCAATTTCAATGTTTCCACTTCAAGCTACAGTAGACCGCAGCGTTACTTCTTCAAGCCATCTTGATCTTCGTCACAATATTTGTCCAATAATAAATATGACGAAATGATAATAGGGGATTGCACAGTGGACGGTGCAATCACCTACAATCACCTTCATCACATGATGCGCACAGGTTAGCGTGAGCAGCCCAATGGGAGCATCGAATGCTAAGACATTCTTTATTTCCAATTGTGCTGTTCGAGGAGACAAGATACCAATCAAACGAGAGGATTAGGTGAATGTAGATCATCAGACAACATCGTTTCAAAAAACCAAACAAACATTCCCATCGTAATGCGAAAATGGAAGCTTACACACAAATCTAACCGGATTTTTCTAAGGTGAACGAATAGTTCTCGGGAGATGTGAATTTAATTTTCGCACATGCACTTGCATTGTTACAGTCAGTAATTCAGAGACTGCCGACGAAGCGGAAAATCTAAGTAAAGGCTCTAAAAGCTTACCATCTGGTGAATCAAAACTGGCTTCAAAGCGAAACGTCGACTCCCTGCTCACCTTCATCAGCCGCTTGAACTTTTCAGTTCGAACTACTTGAAATTTATTGCTCACAAAATTTCTCGAATGTTTGCAAGGTCAAAGCACGAATGAATCCGCCATAGCCGGCGACTCTCAAAATTCCTATATCTCGCCTCCACTCCCGCCACACCCCATCACAAGCACAGCAACATGCACAAGTTCACAACGACCAGCATCACATATCATTCATCCGTTAGATCCTCGTTGGATGATTTCGTCGTTGGAGGATGTACGACGTCAGCTCAATAAGAACAGACTCCGGCTCCCTTGTGTGTTGACAACGCGCATGTGAACGACCTTTCCACGTGTGCAGAATATTTGCTTACGTGGACGATGAAGGATTTTGGCGCCAAAGTGTCACTTTAAAATGAGAATACGAAATGTTCTTCATGGGTGTGGTCCTGTGACCGGGCTGGAATAAAGCTTCAGCCTTTTGGCTGTGTACTCCAGCTTACTTGGCAAGCCTCCTGTGACCAAAATATTCTTCTCGTTATAATAATTTTTTTTTTTCGCTCTGAGAATTAATTGGACTTTAAAGGATGGTTTTTAAATCACTACAAGAAAACTTTGTTTTACGAAATTTGTTTCTTGAGGTTTCTACAACATGTTATGATTATGACAAAATTTATATGATTTATAATATTTGCATTTATGATTATATTGTTTTTAACAATAGACTTTATCATTATTAAAAATGTTATTTTTTGAAAAAATAATAATATGATTCTTAAAATAATTTAATTTGGAAACCAAAGAACATAATCTAATTACATTTAAACATTTAGTAAACTAACATAAGTTTATTTTCAATATCAAGTAAAAACCTTCAATTTCATTAATAATTATTTAATGAATAAATTATCAATGATTTTTTATTTTTAGAAAAAATTATATTATTAATAAATTTATATATATATATATATATATATATATATATGTGTGTGTGTGTGTGTGTGTGTAATAAAATCATTTTTAAACTTACATCTTGATTTCAAATTATAAATAATCAATATATATATATATATATATATATATATATATATTTTACTAGTTGTAATCCTTTTAAATTATAACTATTTGACAAATTATCCGAAACAAATACACTTTGATGTAAAAACACAAATAAAAAAATTACCATATGATTATTACTCATGGTTTAAGTGAAGAATTACACCAGTGTGATCCATACTCCGAGTAAAGTGATAAAACAATTAATTACACAAACTTTAAAATAAATTGAAGTTTGTGTTGAAAACATAGTAATTATACACTTTATATCAAAAAACTCTTTTCTAAAAAGATTATTCTTTATTACTTCAAATTAACTTATATAAAATTATTTACATGTGTGTCAAAAATAAAAAAACAAATAAACCTAAGAACCAAAATAAATTTATTTTTCCGCCTTCATATATGATCAACTTAATTAGCTATTTCTAATAGAATCGAAGTTTCTTAGATTAAAAAGAGTATTCAAGCATATGTAAATATATAATTTATAATTAAAACAAGTATTTATATTTATTAAATATATTATATTTTAAAAAATACTTGTGTATGTTTTGATATAGGACTTGTAAAACATTATTATATTTGTGAAAACTTTAAATGTGTTAAAGTAAATGGAAGATAAGTTAGAAGGTAAAAGATATTATCTTAGATAAGTTGCTAATAGTCAAAGGGCAGCAAAAGGATAAAAGAAAGTTACCAAGGTGGCGGCTAGGATTATAGATGGTAGCTAGGTTTATAGGTGGCAGCTAGGATTTAAAGTAGTGGCTAGGTTAAGAGGAATCTAGGATTTAGTTAGATGAAAATAAAATGAACGTTAATCAAAATGGATATAACCTCTACCTATAAGTAAGGGTGTTAGAAGTGAGAGGTATCTTATTCCATACTTCTCTTGTATCTAAGCTTGTTGTTTTCTACTTACTTGTATCTTGCTTATCGTGTTTCTTCAATAGGTTATGGCCTACACACAGTTTGTTGTATTATTCAAGTAAGTTGAAGTCATTTGCTAGTTGTTATTTTTGTGTGGAATAGATCTTCTGGTGTTTGTTGATGTTGGGATTGTATGATATAATCTTGTGTTTTGCCTTGTGGAGGTTCTGATTTGGGCCTTATAGATCTTTAACATAAGTTTGAAGGTTCTTAACTCCTAGGATTAAATGATTAAGACCTTATACAAAGATCTTGATAGTGTCTTTGGTGTTGTAGTGAGAAATAATGTACTCCAAACACATCTAACAATCATAAGATCTATTCATTCATTTGTTTGTTCACTCATTCATTTGTTTGTTCACTCATTCATTTTTTGTGAGGAGTTTTTTCACTCATTCATTTGTTCACAAGACAACATTCTTAGATTTTTCTAGTGTAAAATTATTTTGGTGATTTTAAGCACATAGAGACTCATTTTTTTGATATTTTTTTATAGACCTCTTCTAAGACATGGCTTCAAGTGAGGGTGAAGGTTTGACAGTGATTGAGAAGTTTAGAGGTGATAATTTCTACCATTGGAAGGTTAAAATGGAACTTTTGTTGGCATCTTTGGACCTTTGGAATATTGTAGATGAAAGTAAAGAGCCTCCAAGCACGCATGCTGATGCTAAAGAGAGGAAGGACTTCACAAGACGTGAAAAGAAGGCTTTTGGTATAATTACCACCAATTTGGATGAAGCCAATTTTTCTCACATCATCTCTTGTAAAAGACCAGCAGAAGCATAGAAGACTATTTGCAACATATATGAGAGGAAGAACTTGTCTAATATCATCTTCACAAGGAAGAAATTCTTCACTTGTAAGATGGAAGAAGGTAAAGACCTCATGGCTCATGTCAATAAGATTAAGGCCCTTGCTAAACAACTTGCAATTATTGACAAGTCTTTAGAAGAAAGTGATATTGTCATGACATTGCTTATGAGCCTTCTCGAGTCCTACAACTACCTCATTGTGGCATTGGAGTCCATCAAGTTAAAAGAACTCACAATGGATTATGTAACGGTAAGACTTGCCCATGAAGTGATCAAGAAGAAAGAAAAAGAGCCCCAAAGTGAGGATTCGGCTCTCTTTTCAAGAAAAGGCAAAGGAAGTCATTCTAACCAACGTAGCAATGTGAGAACTTGCTTCATTTGTGGAAAACTAGGTCACTTTTTTCGAAATTGTTACAAGGCTAAGAAAAGAAATAGAGAAAGTGTAAACAATGCTCGTGATGAATATGGAGGTGATGATTATGCATTCATGGCAAGTGAAGGCACTTTCATGGCTGCCATATCCAAGTGGATCATTGATTCTAGTGCCACCAAGCACATAATTCCATACAAGTGTTTATTTGACACTTATGAAGAGATTTCAACAGGAAATATTTTCATAGAAGACAATGGCATAGTACAAGCTATTGGAATGGGCTCCATTGTTATAGAGATTGTTGTGAAAGGTCAAACCAAGAGGATCAAATTAAAGGACGTCTTACATATGTCAAAGATGAAGAAAAACCTCATCTCATTGAGTAAATTACTTTTACATGGTTGTAAACTGAAATTTGATAAGAATGGGTGTTTTGTAAAGACATTGGAAGGAGATCATATTGCAAAAGGCTTTAGAGATGGCAACCTCTACTTCATCAAGTATAAGAAGGTGAATGGAGTTGAGGTGGCAGTATTTGCTGAATTTCCTGTCACGGCCATAATCATGTAAGCTAATAATTACATATAGAAATAGGTAGAAGTAAGTAAAAGTAGATAAAAATAAGTTAATTCTATAATATTTAATATAAAAGCTTCCTAGAAACTTCTTAGACGCTGCTTTGACTTCAAAGGTGTCTTTAATTGACTTTTTGGATTAGAAACGTGGTCAACAAGTTGGCCATGTGCCACACATGTTGTTAGCTTGAAGATCAAGCTAACTATGTGGCCCACACGTAGAAAAACTTGTCTTGTAAGTCAAGGCATGTGTCTTACAAAGTCAACACATATTGGAGGTCCTATAGAACGTCGCCACGTAGCCCCTAGTTAGATAGTATATATAGAGACAAGAGTGAAGGCTTCTTCACTCTTGTCAACTCCTTTCTTGCTTCTAGTCCAGGTTCAAGAGTCTTTAGTTTCTTGTCTTCTGGCAATAGCCATTCCAGTTTCCTTTTAATATACCTACTTGTTTATATTTTGACTTATTATATCGAGATAGCCTTTTGATGTATATTTTCCTTCATCGAGTCTTTGTCCTTGACAGATTGACAAGAGTACACTTACAATATCAGAGCTTTGTTTTTTCTTGAGTAAGAGTGGATTACCCCTTTCTCTTGACAAGACATAAGCATATTAGAAGTTTGCGGATTACCCACTTCTAAACTGATATTGTTCTTAGTATCTTCCTTGTTATCAAGTCTTTCTTTTCTTTTGTCTTGAGCAATATCAAACAAATTTTTCTTCTTAGTGTCATTATGGCAGAGCTTGTTGAAATGAAGAGTGCAATGGCACAAATGCAAGAGCAAATGAGGGAGTTAATGCTTGCGATGCATCAACTCAATTCACCAACACAGGAAAGAACAAGAATAGCAGAAAGTGGAGATATAGAGATGATCAGAGCTGCTTCAACATCTACAATAAATCACGTTCCTTCTCCAATTGTACAACACCCTATAAGCACTAGAGAACCAAGAATTGCCTTACCTGAGAAATTTGATGGTACGAGATCAGAGTTTCGAGGGTTCATCAATCAAGTACAATTGGCAATTGAACTTTAACCGCAAAGCTATCCAACTCCAGGATCACAAGTCAGGTTTATTGACACTCTACTTTCTAGTTCTGCATTATCGTGGTTTTCGTCTTTTCTTGAACAACGAAATTCAATATTGGACAATTTGGAAGCTTTTTTGGCAGAGTTTCGATCTATGTATGGTGAACACGATGCAACTCGTGTTGCAACAAATAAGATCTGAATTCTGCGACAAGGAAATCGTTCAGTAACAGTGTATGCTTCACAATTTTGACAACTTGCAATTGACATCAAGTGGGATGATGCTGCACTTATGAGTCAATTTCTTTATGGATTGCAATACGAAGTAAAGAAATTGATGCTCAACTTACCTGATCCTCAAACTTTGAGTCAAGCAATCGATTTTGCGGTAAAA